CAATATTACTTAGCTTCAACATTTGTCATTGGAGTATATGCCCCCCCCCCTTTGTGGGAAAGCCTGATTCCACAACCTTCACTATAATGAGTCCTCCTCTGCAAATAATCTGTCTCTTTCTTATCTCGCCTGAGTTTTAATTAGTTTTTAATTAGTCTTTTTTTAACCATTACATGTAATCCGCCCATTGTCATTGTAATTGTACTGTAATTTTATATTGCTTTGTTTTCACATGTTTTATGTAATTATGTTGTTGTTTATTGTTTGCATTTTCGGTTTTATTTTATTGTAATTTGTTGTTTGGGCTTGGCCTCATGTAAGCCGCTCCGAGTCCCCATTGGGGAGATGGTGGCGGGGTATAAATAAAGATGATTATGATTATGATTATTACGTCAGTCTTCAAGATCAACTCTTGATTGTATTCTAAATGCAAACAGGCACATGTGCTTGTGGAGGGCTTTCTTTAGTGACTTGAAACAGAGACTGGGAAAGTAGCTTTTTTGGACAACTACAGTAACCCCCAGTCACATGTCCACATCCCACCTTGGTTTTTCTGGACATTGTAGTCACAATGTAACTTTTTCAGATTTGTCCTGGAAAAAGTAAAACTGCTGCTATCCAGTTGCAGGGATAGGCCAGTTGGCTCCCAGTGTTGAAAAGCTGTGTCTTTGTGCCAGTAACAGCAGCACCCTGTTAGCTGTAACATAATACCTAGGATTGGCTTTTCCATTTGCAGCATTTCATTTTATCACAAAATAGTTGTCATTGTACCTTAAAGGCACCAGATTCCATCTGATCTTCTAAGTTAAGAAGTGTCAGATCTGATTAGTACTCAGATAAGGGACAACCAATGAATTCCAGGTTCTGTAGGTGATATTTCAGAGGAGGGAACTAGCAAAAACATTTCTGAGAAAATCTTGGCTGGGAAAACCTTATAAAATTAATGGTGTTGCTATAAATCAACAGGCAGCTTGAAGGCACATAAAATTGTTATTGTGCTTGAGTATAATTTCTAGATCTAAGTAAAAATTGAACTCCTATTACAAAAGGAGAACTCAAGAGTTACAAAGAGGAAAATTTTGCACTATAATAATTAGAAGACACATAATACCAATATTGCGAAGAATTAGCTACTTCTTTATTCAGCATTAGTGGCAGTTAATTCATGTGAGATAAATTGACAACTCGCCACAGGAAAGACTATAGTATGCTAATCAAAGAGAGAGAAAAACTTCAGATGTGAAAACAACTCTTTTTAAGAGTCTTGGTATATCAACTCCAGAAAAATATTTCATCAATAACTGTAGTTTCCTCATCCTCTACCAAGATACCCTGTCATGTGATATGTAGTAACTGCTTGATTAGGGTAGGGTTTGGTTTTTGTTTTTTGGAGTACAAGACCAATGTTAACAGAAGTTGCTCAAATATTTATTTTAACCATGAGATTAAGGCTATTTATTCTGCCATAAAAAAGAGATAAGTTTAGAAGGTCAATCCTCAGTTCAACTTTCACCTTCTCAAGGCTGGCTGCTAACTGAAACTCGAGAATCACCAGATATCCGGTGATGTAAAAAAATACATCAAAACTTTGTTTAAGATTAGTTAATATATAGGATTGCTACATTTCAAAATTTTATACATTGTATAAGGACCAAGTAGCAACAGTAAGAACTGACCATGGAATAACATATGGGTTCAAGATTGGGAAAGGCGTACGGCAGGGTTGTATACTCTCACCCAACCTATTCAACTTGTATGCAGAACACATCTTGACAAATACAAGACTGGGGTAAAATTGCAGGAAGAAACATTAACAACCTTAAATATGCAGATGACACCACTTTGATGGCCGAAAGTGAGGAGGAGCTGAGGAGCCTTCTAAAGGTGAAAGAAGATAGCGCAAAAGCTAGGTTGCAGCTAAACATAAAAAAAACCCCAAGATTATGGCAACAAGAATGATTGACAACTGGGAAATAGAGGGAGAAAACGTGGAGGCAGTGACAGACTTTGTATTTCTAGGTGCAAAGATTACTGCAGATGCAGACTGCAGCCAGGAAATCAGGAGATACTTACTTTGTGGGAGGAGAGCAATGTCCAATCTCGATAAAATAGTGAAGAGTAGAGACACCACTCTGGCAACAAAGATCCGCATAGTAAAAGCAATGGTATTCCCTGTATTCACCTACGGATGTGAGAGCTGGACCATAGGGAAGGCTGAGCGAAGGAAGATAGATGCTTTTGAACTGTGGTGTTGGAGGAAAGTTCTGAAAGTGCCTTGGACTGCAAGAAGATCCAACCAGTCCATACTTCAGGAAATAAAGCCCAACTGCTCATTGGAGGGAAGGATATTAGAGACAGAGTTGAAGTACTTTGGCCACATCATGAGGAGACAGGAAAGCTTAGAGAAGACAATTATGCTGGGGAAAATGGAAGGAAAAAGGAAGAGGGGCTGACCAAGGGCAAGATGGATGGATGGATGGCATCCTTGAAGTGACTGGATTGACCTTGAAGGAGCTGGGGGTGGTGACGGCTGACAGGGAGCTCTGGCGTAGGCTGGTCCATGAGGTCACGAAGAGTCGGAAACAACTGAACGAATGAACAACAACAAACATTTCATAACTGCAACTGCATGATGAGATGACTGTTTCTTGTTTCAGGATTTCAGATAGGTCACTCTCAAAAAACATTTTCTTGAGACAAACAATGTCTAATTCCACAGGACTGAAAATTACAAAACTGGCACTTGTCTTTTATTTCAACCCTGCTAAAGAGACAGTACACTCCAAATGTCTCAATTATACGGAGCAGTGTCAGCTGATCCTCTTTTGCCCCACTTTTTCAGCTACTGTTAAAATGTACCAGTATCTCTCTTCTCCTCCTACTTTCCCTCTTAATCCTCGTCATACCTATTTTGGTGCAATCTGGAGGGGGCAGAATTTTGCCTTTCCTAGTAGTCTCTGGCGAAAACAAATTGTTGCAACCTCTAAGTTGTGTGTTCATCATTAATAACTCTTGCCATTTTGACCACACTTTGATGTTGCTTGGACACATAGGTCCTAGTTTTCATTTGTGAACTGTTGGGGGATATGAGACAATATTTTCCACTGTACCATAGGGCATGCCTTGCGAACACCATCAGTCTGTTTTTTGTTCATACTGCTAAATTCCCAACATCTGCTACATCTTAATGGCATCCAAGGTTACCCATTTAAGCTGTATTATTAGATCCAGGCAGGACAAAATGAAAAAACTTGTGAGCAACTGTGTCCATAGATCAGAGGTGGCCCCAAAAGATGTAGTGAGAGTTACCAGCTTCAATGGCTTTCAAAGAGGACTCAACTGATTCTTGGAAGATACCCCCAAGATCCTTGGATATGTGGAAGGATATAAATATTTAAAGAGATAGATTCCTAGAGGATAAGGCTTGTGAGTAGCACTTATTGAAGGACAACAGTGGAGCTATTGACTTCACATTCTGCTTGTTGTGTGCTTGCCAGAAGCATTTGGTTCCTTACTGTAGTTCAGAAAAAAATGCAAACCAGATAGGCCCTTGATCTCTTAATGAACAAGCTCTGATGAAGATGAAAGATCTTGAATTTGTAAATATGATAAAGAGAGAAAGAAATAAACAGTTATTGAATTCTTTGAAAATTATGATAACTATGACATCTTAATTGGTTGCAGTGCATAAATATGCTGTTTCAAACCAATATCTGACATACTTTTTTTGGTTTGCTTTAGGCCAAATGAACTGAGATACCAGCAGGAATTCTACATGAAACATTTTCCATCCCAGATACCATACTCCCTGAATTTTTGCATTGTAAGGCAGTAACAAGCCTGCA